GAAAAGAAATCTCATGATTTACTCACATATAAGGGAGCTTGTTGTGGATTAAGTTTCATGACCCAGGACACTGAAACAGAAATGGAATACATGAGAATAAAATCAAAAGTTGTCATCAAAAATATATAAGCCACCGAAAGTCCTAGGTGTCAAGCATAGCTCTATGAGTACAATCCCGTGCCTGAGATTACCATATGCCCAGCTGTATATTTATACACTAAAAGATTCAGGAAGGAAGCAAGGTCAGGGATTGATCCCAGACTCAATCTTTTCAAGTGAGGAAGAAAGATTTTCCGATTGAAAAATAAAGACAAAAGGCTTCACTGTCATAGAAGTTTCAACAACCAATAGGATATTTAAAACAGTTATCAAAGCAAAACCATTGTATGTTCACGTATGTTTTTACCTAGTCCCTCAAACTCACAAAATGCTGTTTACTCAGGGACTCCTTCCAGTCTTACTAGGGAGCCTGGAAAGTGAGGCGAGGATTGCAAGGGCCACCAGAAATCTCTTCCTCAATTCCCCTTCTCTGAGAAGGGAGGCTACAGCTTGCCTCTCTAACCACTAAAAGGCATGACCCTCCTCAGAGCTGGATTCCCTGATTGTTATTTTCACTAAATGAATTCTCATAAAAATCTCATTAAGATTTAGAGAAGGCTTCCAGGGTTGAATTCCTGAACATTAAGAATAGCATATTCTTAAAAGTTTAACTTGGAGATTGGACCAGGACTTCATCTAGGCTATAAATGCTCAGCATAGTAGGCCCTTTACCAAACACCCTGAATTTGAGTATAAAGTGATCTCATCCTCTTAAGGGTCAGAGAAACAGAACCAAGTGACTTCACTATAATTTGATCTGAGGAAGTTTCTTACTCACAACAGGTAAACGAAGGCACATACTAACCAGCAATATAAACAACAGTATAAACTTTCATACATGCAAAAAAACAGACAAAATCCCAAACTTCATGTTCTAACAAATCACAAAAGCCTCACTAACAATAAATTGAAATGACCAAATGTTTGGACTGAAAAGCAATGCCTTGGTAGCCTAGCTATGCCTAACTCAAATAACAGAACCCTCTCGATATTAAAATCCTCACAGATCTGCCACAGATCAAGCTGCATTATGTCCTGGATCAAGACTTCGCCAAAAAGCAGTTAGCACACACTTGAGAGGGAAAAAATTTACATCAGCCTCCTAAATGCAATCATCTCCACACCAGTTGCAGGCCCCAAGCTTCAATGTGTTCTGCTGGACAACGCAGTAGAAAGCTGACAAGCAGGTGGCTTTCCCACACTGACTGAACCACCTCCATGCTCACGCCCATTCATTCTCTGGTCCACCCCATGCGCTATAACAGACCTCCTGGCTCAGGGTACTCTTACCTTACTGACTGCCTTCACTTAATGACTTTGTAACTTTAGGTGTAAAAATTATCTGCAGAAATCCACACTGAAAACCAAGCTTGCCAAAGGCAGCAATAACCAACCAACATTTTTAGAAGAACAAAGTCAATTCCAAGCCCATCAGATTCAAATAGCAAGCATGGATGAAAATGAAAGATTGAAAGGCTTGAGAACCTTCTCAATGTATTAAATATCCATTTAAATTACAATTAAGCTCACTGTGCTCACTGGACTTTTAATCAGCTTTCCAGGTCCTGCCCAGACTTGCCTAGGACAAGGGAATGAAAGAACCTATAAATGTATGGACCAATCTACCTTAACTAACTTGTCAAGTGTTCCTGCATCAAGCAGAAGAAATATCAGTGAAACTGATACAGGAATTAACACCTTGTTAATCCACAAAAATTAAAAGAGTGTCGTACAATCCTGAGGCTTCCTTGGGCCACACTGGAAGAATTCTCTTGCACCACACATAAAATACACTAACACTAGTAATAGCTGATAGGCTTTAAAGAAAATTGCAAAAAAAGAAAATCTCATAATTTGTTTGTTTTTGAGACGGAGTCTGGCTCTGTCACCCAGGCTCAAGCACAGTGGCACGAGCTTGGTTCACCGCAACCTCTGCCATCTGGGTTCAAGCAATTCTCCTGCCTCAGTCTCCCAAGTAGCTGAGAATACAGGCACCCGCCACAACACCCAGCTAATTTTTTGTATTTTTAGTAGAGACAGGGTTTCACTATGATGGCCAGGCTGGTCTTGAACTCCTGACCTCAGGTGATCCATCCGCCTCGGCCTCCTAAAGTGCTGGGATTACAGGCATGAGCCACCATGCCCAACCAATGTTTTAAGAAAGTTTACGAATTTGTGTTGGGCCACATTCAAAGCCCTCGCAGGATGCAGCCTGTGGGCCACAGTTTGCACAAGCTTGGATTAGAGAAATCTACAGAGACAAACTAGTGACTTAGCAGCCCTCTGATGTTTCGTGATTTGCAAGAAACTTAAGATGACTATGTGGAAAGACGACAAACATCAATTTAACTGAATGGTTCCCACCACACTGGAATGAGGAAGCTGAGCAAACTCAGAGGACTCTTAAGAAAGGGCTGATGTCATCTGAACTGTTTGGAATTATAAACTCTTCTAAACATTTTTCAAAGCCAGAACTCATAAGAGTCATTCTGATACATGGATTAAAAGAGGGATGACAAAGTGTCTGGCCCCTACACTGGTCAAAGGGACAGGTCATTGTTATGCTGGCAACACAGGCTGTTCAAAAGAATGCATCTGTCAAAAGTAATCAAAGTAATGACCCCAGAAGGCTCCAGAAACAGACTGGTAAATTCAGGTTGCTTTTAGACTACTTCCACAATGCTGACACACAAGGGGAAGGACAAAACTAACATTTACAGAGCATTATATTTGATATTACACTTAATCCCCATTAAAAAGATACTATTTCCCCTATTTCACTAGTGAAAAAAACTGATCTTTCAAAGGTTAAATCATTTAACACCAAGGTCAAAGGGTAAGTTGGAGAGACCAGATTCAAACCCAGTCTGATGTTAAAACATGTATTTCCCCCCGTATCATAAAAGGCTCTCCTGCTAATGACCTCAAAATCTAAAAACTGACTTGCCCTACATCTCGAGTCCCCATCCTACAAACTCTCCCTGAAGTTGTTAATTCAGCTGTCATTGTGCACCCACAATGTGCCAGACACCATACTCCTCAAAATTCTGTAGGTACAGAAGGAACAGACAAAAATCCCTACCTTCATAGATATTATTCTAGGGGTAACACAGGTAAACAAAACATTAAAATAAATAGTTTTCACACAGTAACAAATTCTATAGAGAAAAATAAAACAGAAGAAGGAATAGCAAATGAGGGAGATGCCATTTTAAACATGGTGCTGAGGGAAGGCCACCCTGAGAAAGATATCATTTACCCCCAAAATACAAAAGCAAGTAACAGACAAAACAGGTAA